TCAAGTATTGGGAGAAATTTTGTCTTCGTGGAGGAATTTTTGATGGAACTAACCGGCATTTGCGTTACATGGAGAGGAAGACCACGAGAACTCTCACGGTTAGCCTCACGGCAAGGGGACTCAAACCCATGATCCGTCTACCGCTGAGGATATTTCACGTCATCTCTGTGGTTGGTGCAAGCAGGATGCGGAATTCGTATCGACCAGCCATCGCTGGGATCGAACGCTCTCTACCCTGAGCCATCGCGGCGCAGCCAGTGAAGTTTTTATTTTATTTTATAGCCGTCGTTGAACAGCCGACCCAATTTCATGGGTTTACGACTACTTACGTTCAACTCCGTAGCCTTGTAATTTTGAACCAATCCAGAAGACAAGGAAACTCCTGGATCAGTACCCCCAGAGGTATTGATTTGTTGTGGGAACATGGAGGACTTTGAGACTCGACAGATTTAACGTGCATCAGTCACCATTTACTACACGGGGAGTCTTCGGCCGGCGAGGATCGAACCCACGACCTCTTGGATATGGGCCCAGCGCCCTACCGACCAGGCTATCCCGGCCCAGCCAGTGAAGTTTGACTTCAATGATCTGCTGGGAACCGTGTCTTAACGATCAGTCCACTGAGGGACTGAAATTTCAATGAGCTGCGTTCATAATTTCGCCAAATTCAATATTTCGTTTTAGATCAGATTACAGGTCACGTGATTTTTCCAGATGATAAGCGATTAATAATGGTTGGAGTTAAAGCTTTTTTTTCCCCATCATACTAGCCGTGCATTTTTCCATATATATCTTTGCGCTTTCACGAGTCTATGATTTGAAGCATAGATATGGAGAGATTCTGGACTCTGCGCGAAAAAACAAAACCAGAATCCAAAACTAAAGCTGATGCGTTTTCAGAAATAAAAGAAAATATTTTTTAAAATGATAAAGAAACTGTAGACTTTACAGAATCTCTCATTTTATAATAGGAAAGGAATTTTTTTTAATAAAAGTATTTCTGTGTTGTTGTTGTTCATTTACGTCGCACTAGATCTGCACAATGGGCTATAGGCGACGGTCTGGGAAACATCCCTGAGGATGATCCGAAGACATGCCATCACAATTTTGATCCTCCGCAGAGGGAATGGCACCCCAGCTTCGGTAGCCCGACGACCTGCACGTGAAGTCGAGTACTTTACGGTAGAACAGTTTAACGAGGACCAATACCGCACACCCTCGGTCCCTACGCTGGCTGATCCAAGTGGTCACCCACCCGCACACTGACCGTAGCCAGTGACGCTTGACTTCGGTGATCTGCTGGGAACCGTGTCTTAATGATCAGTCCACTGTGGGACAAGTATTTCTGTGAGATAAGTAGCATGAGATTCTCCAAGTAGCGCATTTTTAAGATTTGTAGCTTTTGAAAAATAATGAGTAACCCAAAAAGTAGCGGGTAGCCCAATTCGATTTTGTGTAGCGGGGAGTTTAAAAAGTAGCCCAATCTGGCAACACTGTTCCATAGTTAGGACTTTTTTTAAACAGTTTTTTTTAGCATTTTTGAAACCAGTAATTATATTTAGAGCAGATCAATAATCTATTATTTATTTTGTATTTCGGTTGCTTTTATAAAATTATTTAAAGTAAAATGCCATTGAAAAAGAAATGGTAATTTTTTTAAATATAATTTTTCTAATAACTTCGTTTATATTTTCTTTTAAATATAATTTTTCTAATGCCAATATATTGAGTAAATTATGAAAAGCATATGCATTTATAAAAACTGCATTATCATTTTCCATTACACTCTTCAAATCAAAATAAAATAACTAAATTTGTTAATGAGGAAATATGTTTTCCTAATAACTATTTTCAATGTATATAACAGTTATTTTTAGTTTTCATTTCAATGAAAACCATAAACAAATTCATAGTTAGAATAAATTCAGTTCCAGGACTGTAAGTGCAACATTTGGGCATAATACCTAATTTAAGTTAATTAATGAGGAAACAAAGACAGTTTCATTTCGCTTTAATAATATTTTCGAAATAAAATGACATTTTATTGGGTAATACGCTCGTAATTGTTTTTATATACTTTATTTATTATGTCGGGGTTAAGAAGGTTGATCATTTAGGGATCCATACATGAAAAAAATTGGAAATCGCTGGATTTGAGAAAAATTAAACAAAACCGGGTCCTAAAGGTTTATTTTTTTTCTTAGCCTCCGGAGATCCAATCTTTAATAAATGGCAAAAAATAGAATTTTTACTTAGAAACATGTAGTTAAGAAGAAATTAAACTCATGCGCATATAACATGTTGCGTAAATTAAGCGTAAATATTTGTGAGATCGGTAAAGTCAATATGCTTTATGTATAAATTTTACGCAATGTTGATGGAATGAATTTATTTACGCCGATTTTCTGTTTTTTTATATAACCACTTTTTCGCATAATTTGAGAATTTAACTTGCATTTTGGTGTATTGTTGATGTAAATATTATGTAAAAATAGCGTCCTCCCTCTTACCTAGTAAAAAATGGTTGGTAAAATATTCGCAAATTTTTTCAGTTCAAAGTCCTTTGTTTGAAAATCACAATAAAGTTATTCCTCATAATAACACAATTTAAATAAACTTTTTTATCAAGAAAAGAAAATTTATAAACCATTTTAAAAAATGCAAATATTCAAAAACATGGAAGATAAAAATATGAAAATACAAGTGATATGAGATATGAAAAGATAAGTTGACACTTTTTGTTAAAGAAAAAGTTTCAATCTGAAATTTGATTTTAGTATTGTTACGTCATAACGTGTATTTTTAATTTTACTTTTAACAATGAAAAACCATTAAAGCATTAAATTTAATATAAAATATAAATAATTCTATTAAACTACAATATTATTTAAATTATTCCATTTATTTTTTTATTCGTGACATAATTTCAGTTTGTCAGGTGGATGGTACCTTCGCAATTTTGATACATGTACTATTTCTGCATTTTCTTTATTCTGAATATTCCTTTTATTTATTTTATAATTAACATCAGAAGTTTACTTTATTTACGTTTTTATCTTTTGCTTATTCTCACATTCAAAACTTTATTTTCGTTGACAATTTCATCATTTCGTTAACAATTTCATCAATTTAAGATTCTTTCTTTTATTTTTATTATCCTTATTTTTATTCTTAACTTTATTTTAATTATTGGTATATTTATTGCAATCTTTAACCTGGATTTTAGGAGAAATGTGTAAAGACAATTTGATTTTATAATCCGCAAAAGTGATCAGTTTTCGCCGATTTTGCATTACAACTCGTTTAACACAATCAATCACAAATTTAAACCCATTACATTCCTTTAAACCCGATATGGCATAAGGTAGTTCAGTATTTAAAATATAAAATTCCACTGACCTAGCTATATTTCCAATTTTTAAATTTAAAGTACATGTTTGGTTGAGTTTCAAAATACCTTGTGTTTCTTTTACATTAACAAAGTTTTTTCCTTCTTTTAGGACATTAAGTTTTCAAAAAGTTCAGTTGGGATGATATTTATAGTACTACCTGTATCAATATTTAACAAGATAGTTTTATTTGTCACAATCGGTTATTTGTCACTTTTATTGTTTTCATTTTTTATTCGTATGTATCCGGATACTGTTAATTGTCAATTTTGTGGTTGGCCACTTTCTTGTTTAGGCTGGGTTTGATTCTCTGTCATAAAAGAATTAGGTTTGTTGATACAATCTTGGCCCCAATGATAAGCATTAGTTATTCCAAGCTTACGGCAATTTTTACATGGCTTAGGAGGCAACTCCTGGGAAGCGTGGGCGTAATGACTTGTTTGTTGTTTATTTTTATGAAATCTGTCACTCTCTTTTTGAACTCTAATTCTAAATTGAGATTGTTGGTTGGAATTTTGACTTTGACGGAGAAAATGTTGGTTTTGTAGAGGATTATAATAATTTGGAGACATTATTGAATGTCCAGACTATATATTGTTGTCTATACCCATTAAATTTGGATTCTTTTGTTTAGTTTGGGGTAGGACAGTGGGGAGAATTATTTTAGAAACAATTGTGAGAATTTGGGTTCATTTAAAATCAAAAGTGTTTTAACTTGTGGGGGTAGTTATATGATCATTACTTAAATTTATTTTTCGACCTAACTTTTCAGTAAAATATGTATTCAGGTCTTTAGCTTGGACAGAAAATTTTAAATTTTGAAAATCATTAGAGTCAAAAGGAGGGGAAAGATAATGAACAATTTTAACTATTTCCTGATAAGAATTACATACAATTTAGGCAGTTCTTAATATATAATTTCAAAGTTGAACCATTAATAAATTTTTGAAAATTTTTAAACTTTCATTCCTCATTTAATTTAGAATCTATGGTTTGCTTTTTGAAATGTTTGGCAGTGAATTGAACACCAATGTCGGGCTCAAAGATATGGTTTATCTTTATTTATACTGGTTGCTCTATACTTAAATTTTGTAAACTAGCATTTAATTCATTTCCAGAATTATTAGCATTGGCTTCAGCATTTTCTTCCATCTTGAATTTAAAATTTTTGCCACACCGCAAAGGCATTCAAATATTAAAAATAAATTTCAATTATTAAATATTACGTTTAGAAATAATTTAAATATTGTAGTTGCTTATTTATCTTTACCCTAAGAAAAATATTAAAACAAACTTAAATTTTACAAAGATAATCAATTAATCATATACTATAACACGTAAAATAATTAAACCAAACTAAATATCCTGAACCATTTTTATGCTAGTCAAATGAAATCAATATATTGAAAAAAAATTCCTCAAGAAGAAAATATTTCAATAACAGTAAATAAGGTTTTCAAAATGTAAAAACAAACATATCTATTAAACAATAATAATAAGTTCAATGCACAAAAAATAACCATTTCAATTGAAAGATTAAAAATGAAAAAAAAAAATTCAAAACTTATAATCAAAATCTATAATTATTTTTGCTATTTAAACGCTAATTACTTTTACAATCGTAAAATTCCTTGAAATTATCACCAAACCAAAAGCACAGATCAACACTAACAAAATCAATTTAAATGCCATTAAAATGAATCAATATATTTCGTAGATAAATATATAATACTGATAAAATTTGTTTCATAATGTTAAATACAATCAATCCAATTCAACAACACCTCAAACAACATATTCTCTTTCACAAATGGAATCCGTTTTTCAATACGCTTTTACCGTGAAGAATCACACACGCACATCATCATCAATATTTATCTGGGCGCGCGCGCACGCACGCACGCACACACACACACACTATATGTTGTTGACGTATGCCTGTTTAGGCAGAGGGGGTGCAATTGTTCTTGTTTTCCAGTGGCGCCTTCTATGGCCAAGAATTCGACTTCTGCCACACCATACGTCACACCCATTTATAGGGTGGACCCATTCATACTTCCATTCATTAATCCACAGATCGTAATTTTGACCTGAATCAGAGAACGATCGATCTCCAATCCAGTACCCCCAGAGGTATTGATTTGTTATGGGAGCATGGAGGACTTTTGCAACTCGACAGATTTAACGTGCATCAGTCACTTTACTACACGGGGAGTCTTCGGCTGGTGCGGTTCGAACCCACGAACTCTCGGACATGAGCCCAGCTCCCTACCGATCAGGCCATCCCTGCCCTATATATATATATATATACACACACACATAAAAGGGTGTATTTTTCCAGAAGATTTAAGCTTTTGAGTCTAATAAATAGAAACTTGGAATATCGTCAACATAAATTAATTAGCATACACAGAGAATGCTTTCGAAACATTAAAATTGCATCTTAATACGTGAAAATCCGATCATTCTTTCGAAAGGTTTATCAGAATACCTGCCTGGAAGTAACGAAATAAAAAGTTTCAGCCTCCGAATCGTCCCGACCCTTTAAAATTGTTTTTTAGTGCGTGAAATTCTGATCATTCGTTCAAAAGAGTTAATCGAATGTTTCCCTTGAAGTAATTAAGTGCAAGATTTAAATCCTCAAGGCTTTCTCAACCATTGAAGTTGTAGCGTTCACAAGAATAATCAGAATATTTGACTTAGAGTAATCTTAAATTCAAGGTAAGAAGCTTTTCGAACCATTTAAAATGCATAATTTATTCAAAAGAATAATCAGAATAGTTGCCTTCGAGTAATATTAAGCGCAAGTTACGAACCCTCAAGCAATTTATTAAAATTGCATCTGAAATTCTGATCAGTCGTTCAAAAGAGTAAACAGAGTCATTTAAACTGCATCTTAGTGAAATTTCGATCATTCGTTTAATTTAGTAATCAAAATATGTAATTATGTAAGGAGCAAATTATGTAAGGAAGTGCAAGGTCTGAACTCTAAAAATTGTCACAATGTTTGAAATATACTACTTATAAAAGTATTAATGCTTGAAATTTTTTTTCAAAATCTTTGTTTAAGGCTTTCCTATTTTTTTTCACTCCAAGTGTCAAATTTTTGTCTCGTCTTATCTCACGAAGAAACTACAAATGCATCAAAAATTTATCTTATACGAATTTTTTTAAAGAACTGAATGTCTTTTCAAAATGTTTTCAATCGTGATTAGCATTGTTTATAGACGTCATTCTTAAATAACGTTTGTATCATCGTCCTAATCAATGAAACAGTAATACAATTTCAAGAGTTAGTTATGAGGATGGTTTCTGCCTCATAGTCATTTCTTCTCTTATCTACAATAGTCTAGCAATGACTTAAATTTATAAAATAATATTAACAAGAAATAACTAAATTTAATAATATTTCTTAAAATTAAAAATGAATGCTTTAAAATTAAAAATGAATGATTGTGAAGAATATTGCATATTAAGTCTGCTCATAAGGAAATAATCAATTGTCGTTGACTCTCCATGCACAAAATGGTGACTGGTGCTCATTAAATCTGTCGGGATCATTAAGTCCTCCAAGTTCCTATGATAAATCAATACCCCTGAGGAGTAATGGATCGGAGTTTGATGGTGCTCTGGTTCAGGTCAAAATTACGATTTGCGTATGGATGGATTGAGTGTGTCCTCCCTGTAAAATGAAATGTAAGATATGTATGATGTCTCCGGATCACCCTCAGGAATGTTTACCAGATAGTCACCAATAGCCTATTGTGCAGCTCTAATGTGACGTTGTGCATAGTACTCTTTGGCCAAGCGGCATCGTCCGCCAAATGCTCTGTAGTTAGTTCGTATCCAACCCTGGAAGTACCTCGGCAATGTCCTGATATCTGTTCTTCAGCATGACTAGGGCTTATAAACATATATCATTGAGAACATAACCCAGCATATTCAATAAATAAAATAAATTTGCATAGTGTTATTCCGTTTTTTAAATATATAGTGAAGCATTAAGAATCAAAAGTTTTCAGTGGTATTACATTACACCACTTTAGTACGAGATAGTTATCACCATTTTTGGTGTTTAGATACACTAAAATATTGTACAGGGCCCACAGTTGTATCCATATCATGAAAAAACACAATCGCTTTAGGGAGGTTATTTTTATAGGCTATTAAACAAAAAAGGGTAGCAACTACTTTACATCATAAGTGCTTTTCTGAAACTCCAGGCATGTTTTTTTGCACTCTTTGATATAAAGTAACTGGCACCATATTTTAGTATCCAGTAACACTACTATTTATAATTTGCATCACTAATATTTAAAATCAGCAACACAAATACCTATAATTTAAATTTGAGATAAGATACACATAAGAGACAGTAAATTATTTTTACGAGATAATACACAGTAAGAATCATTAATTTAGGATTCTTCATTTAGGAATCATTAATTAGGATAAAATGAGTATAAAATCATTCGCAGCACAAAGAGATGAAATCGAACTAGGCTTAAGAAAACGGAAGCTGCCAGTAATGTAAAATCATTTAATACAGTTCTCAGAGACTTAAAATATCCTTATTACAGAACGAAAAAGTACGATGAATTTTGTTTCAGTTGATAATTAACAGCGTTAAAAGTAACAAGAAACTATCGCCAGCTCATTCCAGATTGTGAACAAGCAACTTGCGACTTGACGTTTCTTAAATTTTTGACATTCAAAGAGGTCCAACATTGGTGTTTTCGAAAGTGCAGATAATTCTGCTAAAGTGTGAGATTTTGGTATAAGATTGTTCAATTTTTAGTGTTTGGATTTAAGTTACACCCTTTAAATCTCAAGTGAACGTTCTATTTCATGTTGACCCGGAATAAAGTGTTCCACAATTTGCTTGACATCTATAATTATAAATGTATAATTCTCTTCTACACCATATTCAGAGAGAGAGATTGATTGCGTCACAGATTTTACTTAACAATCATGTCATCTAATTTTCCCCTGGTCAGACGACGTAGGCGGCACCTGAGCTGCTATTCCTCTAAAAACTTCCACACAATGAGAGGTGTTTTAACTACGAAAGATTTAACGTGTATCTTGCTGTGTACACATGCCAGCTGCCATGATCGAACTCACTACCCCCAGTTCTCCAACCACCGGAGTGCTTTACTACTTCTTTCAGTGTTGACAGTATGAAATTATATAAAATGTTGACACGAGGAAAAATGTTTGTCGGGTAACAAAATGTTCGAGGAGTTATAACTAAAAAGAATAAAAAACTTGAAAGTGTTTTTTTTTTTAAATTCCATGATTAGTTAAAAAAAAATATAGATATTTAAAATCTTTTTCATTCATTTTAGAAGGATTTCTCATGCTGTTCTCTTTTAACTTGTCATTCAAAGTGATCATGTCGTTTTTATTATTGGTTTAGCATAAATATACGCTTAACGCTTAGATTTACTCTCTTTATTCTAAAAATATATACTTAATTTTTTCTTAACATCATCACATATAACTATAAATCTTAATTCTGAAAGATCACTTAAGTAGAACATTCAATAAATAAGAAACACATAAAAAGACAGTTTGAGAATAATCTGAAATTTTATGTTCGTAGAATATTGCATAATCTTTTTAATGTATTTTAATTGTATAGTAAAACATGCTTAACTCCTTTTGCTGATAATCGCTCATCATTTAAAAAATTTTTAATACTTTTTCAGTATAACAGTTTTTTTCTCACATTTTAAAGTTTATTTACTGTAATCAGCTAGTTTTTTTTATTGTATTTCATATTTGTTTGGTATCAATTTGTGTTGCGCTCAATTAATTACTTAAAATTGTAATAAAAGGAAACCTATCTATAGATTATAATAAAAAGAATTTGTTTCTCACATTCTAAGTACGACACACATTTAAACGATAACACTTTTTAAAATAAACATTCTTAAATGTGTGTTGAATTGGTAAAATATTAGTTTTTCGAAGCAGCTGCTCGAAGTTACTTAATAAAAGACACTTTAACAATACTTCCTGTAGTTTACTGTAGAATTGAATGAGAACTAACCTGAATATTGCTCTTAGTAAGCTCAAAGTTTTTATTATTAATTGCGAATTGCGAAGTTTTTATTATTAATTTTTTTTAACAAATCTTTTACATTTTGCATCCTAAAGACTTTATTTTGAAAGTTTTGACTCACATTTCCAAAAAATAACTAAAATACCTAGAATTTCTTTATTGTTTTAATTAAAACTTCAAACAATTTAAAATACACAGAAAAGAAATCATCTCTATATTTATTTTATTAAAAGCGTTATGAGTGATTTTAGACTAAAAACGAGTGGTCCTTCTATTGAAAACAAAAGTTTAAACTTTTCGCTTCACTAAACTTCGCTTTTTCTAATGGAAAATTTTATGATGTTTGTATGTTTTTGAATTAGAAAGAATTTTTAATTCCAATTAGAGCTTTGAAGTTAACTATTTTTCAATTAGCATCAAATAAAAATAAAAGTGTGTATCGTTTTAAAAATAATCAAAATTTTTACAGAAGTTCATACTTGCGTGATCGATAACTCACTTGATTTCGCATATCAATAAAACTACAGAAAATGTTCCAGATGTTGTATAACTAAGAAATGCGCCTAGTAGCGATCATTTTAATTATTAAGTAAAAAACTGTTTTTTTCTTCAAAAGATACGAAAAAATAATATATTAGAAGAAAAGAATTTAAAGATCGGAATAGAAGAAAAATTTTAAAACAATAAGGCTACTAACTTCTGAAAATAAAATTTTGATAGACAATTAAGTATAAACGAAAAAAAACCGAAAAATTATTAGTTTAACTCTTGTTTGATAAAAAAGGTGTCTTCAGTGTTCATTGTTTGTTATTTAGTTTTTCGGCGGTGATTAAGCGAAAAAAAATTCTTTTTTAAAGAATAGGAAGAATAAATTTGAAAGTGAATAATTTTTGTAAACGAAATAATATTTGAGGGTAGAATTGTGAGATTTTGATATAGAGAGTAGAAGATCGATTGGATGGGAGAAAAAGCGACGCCAAAAGGCGACGTGACTACTGGCAACCCTCTATCGATATTGGTAGTCTTGACTTGCTTCTTCTAATGCTCGCACTTCTCCTCAGGTATTCTCCTTCTTGTTATGAAACCTTTTCTTTAGATGCTCGTGTAAAAAAATGACTGAATCAAATGCAGATTATGCGGCAATTTTTGCCAATGACACATTGACTTTAATAAATGATTCAAACTTTACATCAACGGAGGAACCTGTCACTTGGGAATCACAAGTCAGTTTAGCCTTAAAGACATTAGTTGTGACTTGTATCATATGTTGCGCTGTTTTTGGAAATATACTCGTTATATCTAGTGTTTACCGAAATCATAAACTGAGGATAACCACAAACTATTTTATAGTATCTCTCGCTTTTGCCGATACTTTAGTCGCATTATTAGCTATGACTTTTAATGCTAGTCATATGATAGCTGGAAAGTGGATCTTTAACCAAACAGTATGTGATTTTTGGAATTCTTGTGACGTCCTATTCTCTACAGCTTCAATCATGCACTTGTGTTGTATTAGTGTGGACAGATATTACGCCATCATCAAACCTCTCGAATATCCTCTAAAAATCACTGGAAAATTAGTAGCTATCATGATTGCTACTGTTTGGTTAAGTTCAGGCCTTATTAGTTTCATACCAATATTCTTAGGTTGGTATACTACTGATGAGTATTTAAAATCTCGTGACCAAAATCCAGATGTTTGTGATTTCAGAGTAAATAAACCGTACGCTATCATTTCGTCAAGTGTCTCTTTCTGGATTCCATGTTTCATAATGCTTTTTACTTACTACAAGATTTATGTGGAGGCAGTTCGACAGGAAAAGTTTATGTGTAAGTCTCAGATGGCAATGGTGCATAATAGCGCGAGAAATAGCACGGATCATTCGATGGCTGTTCATGCTCCACCTCATCGAAATTCTCACGGGGATGATCCAGAAAGTGGTCAATCTACTCCTACAAAACGGAGTATTAATAAGATGAAACGAGAACACAAAGCTGCAAAGACTTTGGGAATAATTATGGGAGCCTTTATTCTCTGCTGGTTACCATTCTTCCTTTGGTATGTGTCTATTAGTATGTGTGGGGATGCATGCCCATGTCCTGAAATCGTTGTTCAAGTACTTTTCTGGATTGGATATTTCAACTCATCACTTAATCCTATCATTTATGCGTACTTTAATCGTGATTTTCGGGAGGCTTTCAAAGACACCATTCAAACCTTTGTTTGCTGTTGTTGTAAAGTTCCATGTCTACAGAATGAGCGTGCTAAAGCCATGCAGTTCAATTGTGCTTACAGATCAACTCAAGATATAGGACTTGTTGAGAATAAGTATGTTCGAGATTGAAAATCATCTTGGCTGGGTAAGCTCTCCGTCATTTCCTAAATTCTTGTTCAATAGTTAGTTATAAGTTGCATTGTTAAAAGGTAAGTCCTTACTTATCATTTGTTTTTTTTTATTTCGTTTCGTTTTTTTTTCAATTTCATTTGTTTATTTAAGAAAAAAGGTTGAAAATCGTTCTCCAGTAAACGAATTTTATTCACGAAACAATGAAGTGGAAAAAGGAGTAGCAAAACAATGGAATGCAAATTAGAAATAGCAAATCATGTCATTTTCATCCAAACAAAACTTTCTATCTCAAAAATAATTCAAGTGAAAAATAATGCGCGATTTTCTAAGTAAATAACAAAGTATTTTAGTGAACGTATATTTTATAAACAAGGGAGATTTTTCAATTTAGATTTAATATTTTAAGTGTCTTCGAGCGTATAGAATCACTATGAAGTTATATGCTGATCTATAACAGGGAAATAAAGTTGACTATGATCCAATATTTTTATCATTTATATAAGGCATTAAGTTTATTTAAAAAAAAAATAAAAAGAAACAAATAGTTCTTAAAATAATTAGATTTTTATTTCTTATAATTTAGAGTCTTTTGCAAAGCTTTAATTTTATGTGGACGTTGCGGAACATAAAAAAAACGAAATGCAATGAAAAATGTTTTGTTTAATGATCGGATTTACATGTATAAGGACTCAATGGTATGTGGGGATAACCTAAAATTGACTAATTAGTTAGAGCAGACGATATTTAAAGTTATGAAATTAGACTCACAAACCTATTTTCTCTGAATACCTTTTCTTCGACGGATTTCTGTCGATCAAAATATAGAGGTATCCAGGAAATATAATTCCTATAGTTTAGTCAGGTGAGAGGTAGAGACCCTTAAAGTTAATTTCACTTTTTACGTATTTATATGTTTCTTAAAATTTTGAATTGAAAGGTATACAATTTTTTGCATCATTTTGTATATATAAAACTTGAGCGAAATGAGTTAAATAGTTTCTGACAAATCAAATTTTAAATTGGTCAGATATTTAAAATTCAATTTATCAGGAAGAATTCGTCTGATTTCGGTCAAATTTAATATTTTGCCATAGAAAATTACGTTTTTTTAAATGATGTTAAACTTTGTATACCTAACAATTCAAAATTTTTCGACTATTACTAAATAAAATAATTAAAAATAATAAATAATTATTTCGAGTATAATTATATTTGAATAACCGAATTTTATAATTGCGCGTTCATCATTGTTTTTCAATTCGTCAAACAATTATCAAGCATAATACGCAGAAAGTAAAACTAACGTTAAGGAGTCAAACATTGGATAACTTTCCTGAAAGTACCTTTTTGTGTCTCATTTATTTATTTAAAATATCGTCTGTACGAATTAATTAGCATATTTGAGGTCTCCCTCCCCTTCAAATTTGAGTTGTAATACGTGAAAATTCGATAATTAAACCAAAAGTTATTCAGGGTGTTTCTATTTTTGTTGCGTATTATACATCTATACCTTTATTTAAAGATCAAAAGGCATTATTCCGTTGCAGTGTTAAATAAACAAAAATGTAAACGAACATATATTGATCAGTCGTTCCAATAAATCGAAATATTGCAATTGATTAACAGCAAGAGTGAAACGCGGGATCTATTGAGTTCATCAAAATTTCTTTTTTATTCACCTAAGTGAGGTATTGTCTATTGATAAAGTAGCTATATTTATAAGTAAATAGTATACGCTTTTCACTATGCTATGAAGCTAAATTCTAACAGAAAATTAAATATGTGTATTTCAAAGTGTCAATGGATCTTGAATGTTAAAATAGTTTACTTTAGCATGTGGGCATATACTTTTAAGGTACAAAATATAATATTCGGACAAATATTATATACTTCTAAATATTATTCATTATATACTTCTAAAGAATTCATGAGATGTAATAACATAAATTATATGGATTAACTATTATAAAATTTATTATTCAATAAATACATTATTTTAAGAAAATTACACTGTAAGCTAATCTATTTTGCTAAAATTTGTAAGTTAATTCATGATTTTATGGGGTTACAAAACTTCTATGATAGGAAATCTAAAGAATTAATTTATTTATGCAGCAAAATTGATTTGATGAAGACTCCCTAAAAATCTATTTTAAACAATCTATTGATTGTTTCTCTTTTGAATTAATTTAAAATGTACAAATTTAATCTGCTGATGACTGCTTCCCATAAAATCTCTATTTAAAACAATCAATTCATTGTTTCATTTTTGAATTGATTCAAAATTTACAAATTTGGTCTGAATGACTGTTTCCCTTAAAATCTCTATTTAAAACAATCAATTCATTGTTTCACTTTTGAATTGATTTAAAATTTACAAATTTGGTCTGAATGACTGCTTCCCTTAAAATCTCTATTTAAAAAAATAAATTCATTGTTTCACTTTTGAATTGATTTAAAATTTACAAATTTGGTCTGAATGACTGTTTCCCTTAAAATCTCTATTTAAAACAATCAATTCATTGCTTCACTTTTGAATTGGTTTAAAATTTACAAATTTGGCCTGAATGACTGTTTCCCTTAAAATCTCCATTTAAAACAATCAATTCATTGTTTCACTTTTGAATTTATTTAAAATTTACAAATTTGGTCTGAATGACTGTTTCCCTTAAAATCTCTATTTAAAACAATCAATTCATTGCTTCATTTTTGAATTGGTTTAAAATGTATGAATTTGGTCTGCTGATGACTGCTTCCCATAAAATCTCTATTTAAAGCAATCTATTAATTGCTTCATTTTTGAATTGGTTTAAAATGTACGAATTTGATCTGCTGATGACTGCTTCCCATAAAATCTCTATTTAAAGCAATCTATTAATTGCTTCATTTTTGAATGGGTTTAAAATGTACGAATTTGGTCTGCTGATGACTGCTTCCCATAAAATCTCTATTTAAAGCAATCTATTAATTGTTTCATTTTTGAATTGGTTTAAAATGTACGAATTTGGTCTGCTGATGACTGCTTCCCATAAAATCTCTATTTAAAGCAATCTATTAATTGCTTTATTTTTGAATGGGTTTAAAATGTACGAATTTGGTCTGCTGATGACTGCTTCCCATAAAATCTCTATTTAAAGCAATCTATTAATTGCTTCATTTTTGAATAGATTTAAAATGTACACATTTGGTCTGCTGGACTTCTCCCCATAAAAACTCTATTTACAACAAATTATTGACTAATATGCTCTTTCACTTTAAAAATGATTTATAGTGTAGCAAAATTGATTTTCTGTCGACAGCGTCTCCCCTCTTAAAACTCTATTTGAAACAATTTATAGATTGATAAGTAATTTCATTTTTAAATTGATTTATAATGTAACAAAATTGGTGCTCCTCTTTTCAAATAATTTATAGTTTGATAGGTGCTTTCACTTTTGAATTGATTTGAAATATAGAAAATTTGGTTTGTGGAATACTATTCCCCTTGAAATTCCTCCTAAAGTATAAATAATGTAATTTATTTTCATCTTGGAATTGATTTATAATGTAGTAAAGAAAAACAATTTTGTATGAAAATTACTAGATTTTGTTGTTTTACTTATTCCTTCCTTCATTTTTGGCCTTAGAATATATAAGTTAATTTGCTAATGATTAAATTTTTCTATCTTTTTTTTATGAAAGAAATATTTTTCTTCGAAGTGATCAATCGAAACTAACCATCTTGAAAGTGTTCAAACATTAAAAAATACCAACATTTTACGTTGAACTACTAATATTCTATCGCTATAATATGCATTAAAAAATTTTTTAGAATAAGTTTTTTAAGTGAGGAAAAAAAGCTTTTGTCAAAACTGACGAGATTAATCAATTGTATATTTAATAGCAAATTAACAAAAATTTAAAATTAGCTTATCACGTTTGTAATAAACAATTACAATTATCAATGTAATTTTAACATTTTGCCAAGCAGTATTCATCACTTTTTAAATAAGTTCATGTTACTAAAATATGATGCTGTTTTGAAACAAAATTTAAGAATTGACCATAAATGATATTAAAACACATTTCTGAAAACAACACTAAAGAATAGTTTAACATTTTGAAACTCTGTGTCCAATATATTGTATACCCTGATTTTTATGAAGGCAATAAATTTTCTTGTGCGTATTGAGCTCGTATTCAATAAAAATTCAAACATTTGAAAAGTAATACAGAAAAAAAAAATCTCTATTCTTCATTAATTTTGAATCTGGAAACAACACTAAAGAATAATTTAACATTCTGAGATTCAGTATCCAATATATTGGACAACATTTCCAATAATTTCATCATTTAAAATATTTTATGATTTTATTTCTGTTTATATGTCTTGAAAAAGCGATTATTTTATGAAAGAATAATTTGTTTTACCTTCGTTCGTCAGAATTTCTACAATAAAAATAATTAGAAAGATAAGGGATTTAATTCAAATACTTTTGAATAATTTCAGAGTATACAAATATTTTATTACTATAGTCTAGTGGATTTTGTTTCATAACCAAAATATGAAGAATTACAATAAAAAAATACCCTAAAATGTGTGAAAAATGGTATAAATTAAAATTTATAATATTTTAAACTGTAATTAAAAAAAGTTGTTACATTAAACCACCAGTTTTTTTTCGCCAATTGAGAAATATTTACTTGCATGTCTTTTAGTTATAAAAAAAAATAAACGTTTTGAAATGTTAGTGCCCCTTTTTAAATAAAGTTTTGGACTATTTTCAAAATTTTCAGATTTCTGATTTTGTAGATCACTGATTTTATTTCATCAAGATTGCAGATATTTAGTAGTAATGAGCAAAAATTACGTTTAAGTATACACCCTGAGAAAACTCAGTAAATATTTGTACCATAATATTGTTTAAATTTCATGCAACTTTAATAAGTTATTAAATTAAACCACGTCTCCGTTGAAGCTGTTTTCAAAAAAGAAGATACCTGAAGTTTCACTCGCCAATTGCTCTGTTATTT